GGCGCCTCACCAGTGCCGAGGGATAAACTACTATCGTATTACAGTAGAGCCTACTTTGTATCCATAAATAACAGGAATGGGGTAGATTAGGTTGCCACGTCACATAAAACGATCTATTAAAGAACCGTAAAAATGCAAAAAAAATATGCCAAAAAAGCTTTCCGTATTCATTATGCTTGAACCCATTTTCTATTAAAGAATATACTGGTAGTTCAATAAAAACTGAGTGGTTAAGCCGCTCCCGCGGACCTCCAAAACGTGACGGTTTACACAGCCCTGCATTTAAGAAAGCGGTTGATTCGGTGTTAGCGAATACGAAATTTGGATTTGCGTTTACCAACGACTGGCACAATTTGTGCAAATAAAAAATAAATCCATTTTGGGCTCTACGGCTTACCAAAATGCGTTTAGGATGAGTGTTTGTTAGAACAGATTTATGCCAACTGCATGTGAAGACAAGGCGATGATTGCAGTGCAAATTGCAGCAAAATGATAGCATGGTAATTGCATTCGCACAACACCGAGGACTCCTAATATCCTGGCAAGATTTTTTAATGGAGAATGGATAACTTTCCTTATTTTGCATCATATACTAACAAGTTCTACCAATGCAACATCTTTTTACTTTAGAAAAGCATGCTTTTAGATCTATACGCATCCAAATACCTTCCGAAGTAATTTCCCACTGCCAAGCACTTATATTCTGTTCTTTGTTTACCTATTTGTTTGTCAACTTATTAATTGCCATTCAAGGCGATAACCATCCTACACTGCGGAAAGTGGGGTTTGTTTTCCAACACGTTTATTTGGCCACATAATTTGGATTTGCTGATGACTTCTAATGCCTAGAATTTTCATTAAGATGAAAATTCGATTCTCAAGTTCTCCACTAATGCGCTGGTTTCTAATGCTTCTTGCTCAAAATTCTAGATCACAGAGTTGTTGCACTCGAGAGCATTTTACAGTTTGACTATAACCATGCGGAAATTATCCACTTTTCATCACGATAATAAGTGGCAAGGTTTGATCAGAGCCAGAGCCACCAATACATGGAAACTTGCATTTCCCTGTATTCTATCCAGGCCATCTCACTAGCACAGTCTTCGACAGTCCCTACTATCTACTATCCACTATTTATAAAAATTTTATCAATTTGAAATCTACAACCACCTTGCAGATCAGTTCTTTGACCATTTTATGAATTCTGTTCTAATGGAAGGAAATAAGGACTCCCAAATTTAGCAAGTTTAACTACAAAAGTGCGGCATTGTTACTGCCACCCTTAAAAGGCTGCAAATCTGGAGGATGTAGTGCTTACAAGTGGAGGACTTTGTGTCCCACCAGACAGCGAGTGACCGATACTGGTGTTGCCAAGCGACGATTTAAAGTGATGTGACGAGGAGCATTTTGATTCAAGCCAGTATCCATCATTCGTTTTCTGGGGCGACACCGCATCCTCCACTTGTAAGTACCACATCCTCGAGATTTACAGCCTATTTAATTTGACAATAATGATGCACTTAGGAGTGTGTTTGGATGCAGCATTTGTTCAACCGCTCAACAACATAAGGCACTTTCGTCACGTATGTCAGACTCTCTTAGCATCTAAGCCCTCAATAGGAGTGTTTAGTATATTTAAGTCGGAAAAGTAGCTTGATTGTTAATGTGCCAATGACATGATGGACTACCAAATACAAGGCAGTGATCTAAGTAGCGGAGTTTGTAAAATTCGTTGCTCCGTTACCATAGTATCAATGAACAAGCCGCATGTGTTCACTTGATGCTATCTTACGCGACCGCAGCCTCTCGTGCTGGCGAATGGAGGGCAGACAGTGATCAACACAGCGGCCTTCCTTGCAATCCGTATCCATATCGCTGTTTGCACTAACACTTGCCGAAGTCGCCGGTCTAAGTTGGCCAAATAACAACCAACCCTAGTTTTTCGGTTTCTATCCTACTTATTTGTTATAACAGTAGTTGTTATTACTATTGGGTTGATTTTTCCTGTTTTCTCCTCCTCCTCCTCCTCCTCCTCCTCCTCCTC